ATTCATGTGCAAAAAAAAAAAAAATTGGATGTTTGATATTGTTCCATGTCGACCCAGTAAAAAATACATTCTTAATTTAAAAAAAACCAGCATGGCTGTACCGGGTTTTACAGGTAAGTATCTCATGACAAATGTTAATTATAACAGCAGGGATGGATATAACAATTATCTACAAAGCACACAAAAACGCTAAACTTTCATTTTAGTTTCCATTATCTATTCATGTGTGATGAATAGGGTCCTTATCAAATATGACCAGCTAGTCACTGCAGTGTAACTTAAGCATAGATTTTTAGCATGGCGCCATATGTAATATTGCTACTGCTGTTTAACATTTGTAAAATATTTTGCAAAATACGTTTTGCTTAACCACTCCTTCTTTTTAAGAAGCGAACGCACGTTTTTTTGTTGGGGGGATCATAACTGTACAAGTCGTATTTTAATGCATTGAATATGCCTATGATATCTTTTAGAACGACTTTCTAATGGTGATTGCAGTCAGTTCACGGAGTACAATAGATATGACGTCATTAGCTTAAAAGCTCACTGTATTGGACATTTGGCGATAAATACAGAAAATATTGTACTTATATGTCATTGGCAAATATTGATTTTGATTGCATAAAACAGAATTAGCTGACCACTTGGGGGTTCTGGTCTTGAAATTTACTTACTACATGACCAATAGGGACACCTAACTACCACGCTGTATGATAAGCCTGACAATTTTAATTTCAATCGCGAACGTTCCCTTTCTTGAGAGTAATATTCATTCTTCGCCAACCTATTGTGTAAACATAGAAGTTGATTTGGTATTCAAGAGCTCGCTCCGAATATCATGATATCCGTGATAGGTGTCGACTAATTATAAGCCACAGTTTCGAAAAAAAAAGGTTGACGATCATTGGCAAGTTTAATGGTCGCTATAAATTGCAATAACTCATTTGGAAATCAGTTTCGTTGTGGATATGAATATGTTTTTTCTTTCCATTGAATGCCTTTTTGTTTTATCACAACCCTATTTTATGCTTCGAGGACGTGGCATCACTTTGATCTGTCCTAGTTTTACTTGGCAAGTGTCTTCCTTTAATGAAAGAGCCCTACCCTTCCGAAATACTTAACTTGTTAAAGGACAATCAATGTAATAATAATTGTGCCCTAATTTTTTGTTTCCAATTTTCATTTTGTCGATACTGCAATATAATCTCTTGCTACTTTTTGCAAAACCTTAGCTAAAATGTAAAGTTCTTTATTCCTTTCATCAATCTTACAGGAAGTAGGGAACAGCCGATTTAGTCCTAATGGAACTAGGTATGCTATTGATTCGTTTTTGTCAATTTTAACTTTGTAGAAGTGTTTAAGTATGCTTAGGTTTGATGGGATTTCACTTCACCCTTTTAGTCCTAGTTCACCATTCACATTGCTAAGCCCAAAATAATTAATCAAGAAAGTTTGAATTTAATCGGACTTTGTAGAAGGCACCAAGCAGTACAAACTAACCTTTGCTTTCTACTACTCCACACATCCGCACACACAGGCTTATTACAGCATTGTCATTATATCGGCATCATCAGTCGCCTGATAGAGCCATTTGTAGATAAATTTCCGTTGCAATGAAATTGCTTTATCGTGATCAGCCACCACACTGAATTTCATGATGAAGTGAATATCTGGAAAATAGAATCAGGACTAGATGCAATTTCCTGAAAGGTTACAAACCCCCTAAAGAATAACTTCACGTTGCAGAAGAGTAGGTCGTTTAAAATCTTCTTATACAGTACCGATGCAGCGGGCTGTTTTGAATTTAGCTCAAATGGTTTGACTATAATCGGAAAAGTAAACACAACATTCTAAAATAGGATTAACAAAACATTCGGAAGTAATTAAAATATTAAGACATTGAGACAAATTAGCATTTTTTATAAATCTGTCGCTCGCGCTATATCCTTTTCTGGAATATATATAAAATAAAATAATATTATTGAACATGTCAGAACTAAAAACCATCGCATGTAACACTTTTCTACAAAAACACGTATCCGCGTACATTTAAATATATTTGTTATTTGTCTGAGGTTTTACATTATTGCGACTATTAAGGTTTTATATGAATGATAATATTAATTGATACTTAACGGTCCATTAGCACAGAAAAACCATTGGAGCAAAGAAAAGGTCGATAAAACATGCAAAAGAGAAATTACAAGTTGCTATGATGATTTAGATTCGTTTGACTAGACCAACAGTAAAGTCCATAACTGATTGGGAATCGCATACAGTTGTATCGGTCAAAAATATCCGAACATTACGTGTATTTCAAATGTTAATCTGCATTATACCTCATAGGATAAACTGTAATGTAAGATTCAAAATATGTATAACAATATTAAAAGTACAGTGTAAGTATAAGTACAAAGCTAGCATAAGATGTTATTCGGGTGGATTGTGATGCTGCTGTTAAAACGTTTTCTTTTGAAGTATACCTTGAGGTGTCCTATGCTATGTGGACACTGCCATTGTATGAATTAGCTGTCGCGAGTACATACATCACTAAACAAACAAGTAGGACGTAGGAAAAAGAAACCGATTCAAGGGTTTTTGCTCAATACTATATATGTCTAGACGTACACTACTTTGATACGCCTATTCCAAAAGTGAAATCGAGGGTTTCCTTTTGTAACATTTAATAATTTACGTTTAAAAGAACTTATAATTGTTCTACTGCCAAATTGAAGCATTAATCCTTTTCTCTTTTTTTATTTTTTATTAATATTTTCCGGGAGTTTCTTTGGTATATGATGTCCTAACAATTATTTTTTGTTTTTATTTTTTTGTTTTATTTTGTTTATTAACAGCTCAGGTCATTTGAAGATGCGCCTCCATGGTTTGTGTGTGTGTGTGTGTAGGAGAAAGGGTATTTGATCTGTCGGGATACAACAACTCTACAGATTCGGAAATTATAAACTGGCTTTATCCCATTGCTTTACATACACGACTATTGTGCGATATCAAAGTACTTCAATATGGCACCTGTTATTCCCTGAAAAAATATCAGCGTGCAGAATAGCTGAAAGAACCGATAAACCCTTTGTCAATATAATGTAACCGGTTGAAAACTGTGCTGGGTGCCTTTGGCATGGCCTGTCATTGAGGTAGCACTCTAAAGTTGCCATCAGATCCGCGCTATCGCCAAGAGACAATTAAACCCACATACACCTTTATCACACATTCACATCACACATGACATAAAACTATCAAACACAACCCTTCTTTATTTCGGCACTTCTGTGTTGATATATTGTATTTGTCAATTAATGCGACTATTACGTACATACATGTATATCACAAAAAAAATGTCCGAACCTACTGTGTTTCCGACATATCGACGGGACAGTGCCAGGACTGCCATGCTCAGGAGCTGACGAGTTGCTTCTGACAGGACAATTTACAATGGAATCACAGCAATCCCACGGGAGGGTGTGAAACCGGTGCCATTGTTGTAAAACACGCAAGCACAAAGTTGTTAGTTATTTACAAAGTCAGCCTTAGGAACTTGTGCTAAAACACCCAAGTATTACAGGAAACACCGACACAGTGATACATTAGCGATTTGATTTCGTGTTATTTGATTTTATCATTCTGTTGCTAAACTTACAATATTTAACCGGCTATACAGAGTGAAATCAAGTAAAAAATCAATTATTTCGGTGTTTTCATCATATTGATTTTTATGCAGGAGATTGTCAAGGAATTAATTGAGCTATGGTCATTTTTACATTTGTATTCAAAACACTTCCTCTGACGTGTTTTACGTTCAGAAGAACACGAACTCTTCCCTCAACTTAAGTTAACGTTAAACGCTGTGTAATTATGCTGTCGTCTGTTATTAGAATCGAGTTGTTTGGTCTAATTACACAGTAGCAAAAAAATGTGTTCATGCTTTTATTAATACACGTCGTTTATCGTGTAAGATTTACACAAAAATGTGGATACAGTAACATGTCACCCTAGTAAAATAAGTAAAATAATAGCCGCTTTCTACGTACTCGACCAGGGGATCTCATGGGTACAGCGTAAAACTTGTGAAACAGAAGGCCTGGGTTCGACTTTTAGCGGTAGGCACTGAGAGAAAAATTCTTCTGCTACACCTGCGCCGACGAAGGAACCGGGCAAATATTGATAAAAATACGTTACTAGAGGCGCTATAACCCCTTGAACACTCCGTACGATTTCTTTCCTGGAGGGGGATATGTAACCCTGGTTAAACGCTAACCGCTTCCTACCACTTTGCTAGGGAAAATATCTGTATAGCCTATCAAGTAGAGTGTAAGATTTGTAATCAAGAGATCCCTGGTTCCGTCCCTTTCGAAGGCAAAGAGAAAGAATCACTTTTGAATATTTATTTTTATTTTTCAAGTAATTACTTTGAAATATTATTGATATTTTTGCCGTTGACATGGAAATTCGTGTATTGTATCGTATCAAGATTGTTTGAATGACAGTCTGAAGGTTTAAGTAGTTGTGCTCTATTTATGTTTGCATTGCTAACGATTGATACAGAGCAATGCACGTTTAAGCTTTTTATCATAATTTTGGATGTTTTCATGTTTGTGGATATTGATATAATCTACTTTTTTGAGACGGCGTCTTCACAAATGATTACCATGATATTTGCAAAATCTTTCACGTCTTTTCATAATTCAAAAGCTTGTATCTGTGTCAGAAAATAATTTTTATAATCGTTCCGCATCCAATATATATTGGTGCACCAAACTGCTTATTAGTAATAAACTTTGTATGAACTTAATAACGATTTTTATGGAAGTTATCCTAATATAAAACACATTGTATTTTTTCTTCTCATCAAAGGAATTCTGGATATCTATTTTGTCGAGTTGAGTATACTAACAAAAACAATTCATATGAAATCTTCAGAATAACCACATGTTACCGCCGGCGGATATGAATAAGAGAACACTCTAATGCTAATGTTTACTTACGATTGCACTATCAGGTTGTCAGCGTCGTGTTTCCTACATAGCTTGTAAGCAGACGTTCCACACCGATATTCTTGATGCTGATGTCGCAGTTACGCTGTCTTTCTATATCGCATACAGTGTCTGTTTGGATAGTTTCAAGAGAGTGCTCTTCAAACGAGTGAACAATCTGAAAGGTCTTTCTGTTAATTCCATCAATTAGGTCTGTTTCCTGCGTTGTGGAATAGACGAGTGCGATGGTTCTCTCTGAAACGCGCACAAAGGCGCGGGTTTATCCATGAGGCAGACGCAGGCGACAAAACTCAATGACCGCTCTACTCCGTGTATCGATCGGCGCCATTTATAACCAAGGCGTCACGTGGGCCTTGATTATAGTCAACACAATGTTTGAAATAGCAAACCAGAGCTATAAAGTCTACGCGACGGGTAACGTTTGCTTCTGGGTGACAGAAGTAGGAAAAGTTGTCACGATTAAATGATATGTTATATCGTATTTTGAAAGAGACGACCAGTGCATTAACATAACAATGAACAATCCTCATTTCACTTTTATCGCAATCTTCACCAATCGTTTCCATCCATGTGCCATTCGTGATTTCCAAACATTATGCTTCTTCGTATTGTAGAATACCATAATAATAGTGAAAATATTGTCAATGGGCGAGTTTGATCATCAACCATTTAACCATAGTCGGGCTGTTACATTCAATGTGCTTTCACATGCTGGTAAGCAGCAACCAATCACTGCCTTGCTTTAAATAACCACGCATGCGCATACCACCACTAGTTGCTCTGGTCCTACTTAAGGAAATCGGTAGGTTGTACTATAGTTGCCAGGCATGCGCACCGTAACCTCTTGTTTCTTTACACATGCGCAATACACGTTACTAAAGTGAGTTCGACCGTACTCTAGTTAGACAACAGTCGCTTGAGTTGATGTTCAAACTCGCCCATAGTAGTAATGTCATATAAGGCCACACAGGATAATCAGTAATAGGCAGCTAGGCCCATTAAACGTCTCAAAGATCATTCCGTGGGAAACACAGGAAAATGTATCCTAAAGTATATAGGAATATATATACATATATAAAATGTATAATATCCTAATGGATTAGGACTTATGTTACACGTAAAGATTTCGAAACAGATGTAACTAGACAGAAGAAAAAATATATGGCAACGAATATGGTAAAATGATATTTAACTATTGCTGGTTCACGACTGCCATTCAGACAAGGATTACGGAGGACATTGTCCTCTAACATCTCCGAAAATATAATACAAATTTTAAGTATGCATAAATTTACTTGCATTGGTGAGAGTTTCAGCCTTTTTTCGATTCTAAAAACAAGCATATTAACGATTGTCGTGTGTGTGTGTGTGTGTGTGTTGGTATACCCTACAAAACGAGGTACCAACCCTGAGTAAACAACCACGAAGTGAGGTATCAAAATAAAGCGAGGTACTTTTTCCCGTTACCTCGCTTTGCGCACCTCGTTATCTGCTTAGAAACTTTATTTTGAGCACGCACACGAAATTTTAGTAGGTACCTCACTTCAACACTAGATTCTCAACACTCTGTGTGTCGCAGACCCACCGCTGTCGATGAGCTATACGTCCGCCAATGGCACACACTCGGTATTTCCCGCCAAAGTAACTTTCGGAACTCTCCTAGCACATCCTCGCGCCTTTTCCACAGATGCTATCAGCTCGTTTTGGCATGAAAGCGGCATGGCAAGGTGAGTGTAATGATTTTTTACCGTTTGCACGGGGTATTTTTTATTCATTTTCTTCACAGACATGACCGAAAAAAAAACTGCTACAAAACGTGCAGTAGGATATGTAAAATTTGGTCAGTTTGGACAGTATATGTCTGCTCTTAATTACTGTTACTTCAGAAGACAGGCTCATCATGAAGATTATGAAAACTACGTGATTCATTTCTTTGATGTTGAATCGATGTTGAAATTCGTACAGTATTGTTACAACCTACGCTTTGCGTACATATGTATAAACAACTGCTGCTTAAATGACGAGCAAATCGGTAATTATTTAGCGTTAATTTTGTTTAGTGTGTAACAGGAACGGGAAAAGATCCCTCGAAGTTCAAGTGTGTAGATACAATAAGACAGCGCTCCCCATTAGGCCTACCCCTGAATGAGTGTAAAAAATCCCGAAAACTAAGGAAAAGATGGCGTATTGAAAGTTTAAAATACAGTTAGAGATCTACACGTAGTTTCATTGTATTAAATATCATAAGTAAGCAACATTGACAGTACTAGTGTTCGTTCACAATGTACTAATTCAGTAGTACAGAGTTCTGAATCTGCAGAGATATGGTCTTAATTTTAGATGGCTCCTCTTAGAATCAAAATAAGAAAAAGAAAAAAAAACTTTCTTTTAATTTCTCTGTATGTTATTATCAAATTATCTGCTAGGTAGAATCCATCCAGAGACCTACATATATAGGTCTCTGATCCATCTCTAAGTTAGCAATTGTGTATTAAGTTATAAAGCAGAATATGTACTAAGGCCTACTCAGTATTTAAATTATGTATATCCTTGTATCATTTGTATACATATTGAACTTGTTTTAGATGACGAAGAGAAAGAGGAAGTGCAAGGAAAGAGAGGAGCCTGTCTCAGTCAATCAATATAAAATTGGTAAGAATGGATCAAATAAACTTGTATATTGTTATCTGACATATGACATTCTGAAGTTAAGTCTTTAAGATACCATATCCATCCTAATATATTCACAGTGCTTATAAAATTACAAAAAAAAGTATAATGGATGTGTTTATTAAAACCAGCCACAGAAGAAATTTGTATATCAATTGTCAAATGACTCAAATACATGTATGGGCAAAAAAATGAAGAAGCTTTCATTCAAGTCTATTATTTTAACAGTACCAAGTTCTTCATTTCTATCACATAACTTGTGTTTCTTGCAATGGATTTCAAGTTATCAACCAAATTTGTTGTGTTGCTAGTGTATATTATCAAGATCTTGCAAGAGACTAATATTGAGAAAAATCCCCATTTACCAGAGTTATAACAGGAAGTCCTGGGTTTTCTACAAATTTTGGTGTGTTGCTTCATATTATCAGGATCTTGGATGAGTTTGATATTGAGAAGAATCAGTCAAGTTGCTAAATTTATGGGACTTTAAATCCGTTAAAAGTGGTTATTTCTACGTAGGGCTGCCACAATATATTGGTATATTGCAATACACACTGTATACTATTGTATCGCAATGCAGATGCTGAAAATTGATTCTTCACTATACAAGTATTATCATGTGTATTTTTGACTAGGTGCCGTTCTTTATTGTCATTTAAAACAATAAAGTTATGTTTGGTAGTTGATCATTCTTTTAAACACAAATTAAAAGCCATGGTATTGCTTTCTTCTAGAATGCCCTATTTCATTGTTTTATTCTATTCTTGCGAGCAAATGAATGAAAGTTGATACAGTTGGTATATATGATCTGCAGTGACAAAAACACAAGTGCAATATAGGGGTAAAGGGCTCAAAGTGGATATTTTTACCTGGTACCAGGCTATAACATCTAGGCGCCAAATGGAAAAGTTGGTAGCCAGGTCAAACTGTAGTATCTTTTGGTTTGATTTTTTCACCCTAGTGTGAATTATTCCTTGTTTTGAGTCTGCCATATTATGATAAGTGAAGTGTTTGTGAGCTACATCTAATGTGAGCTCATGTCAACTGTTTTGGCAATGGCAGTCAACAGCTTAATATCAATGGCGGAGATTTTTTTCGGATTTTAATTACTCTCTGATTTTTTTGAGCCCAATATTTAAGTCGCCATGCAGGCGCCTTACACGTTGATACATGGTCGCCAATGGTGAAAATTGGGTGCCATGGCGCCTAAAATGGTCGCCACTTTTGAGCCCTGGGGTATCGCAATACATATCACAATGTCAGTGTTTTCCCAGGGTATTTGGGGAATTTTTCAAAAATTGCAATTTTGGTATTTTAACCGTGCGTGTGAAAACCTCTAAATTGGGAAAAAGTCAAAATGATAAAGATAAAAATATAGACCCAAGACGTACAACTTTCATCAAGATTATCTGATTTTACATTTAATCATTAGTTGTTTATTTCCTGTTAAATATTAAGATTTTGACTTCATTTTTTATTTGATATCTACATACAGTATATTTGAATATACAAAGTAATCTAAAACATGCTTCAAAAGGCAAAACAATGTAAAAAGAAATATCTTTTTTCAAATTTTAAAAGATTAATTTTCTATAAATTTTTGTTTCCACTGCAGACTTTTTAAAATCTAAATCCGGATATTTTAGACCTACTTCCGGTTCGTACTTACTACAAAACAAAATGGCTGTCTACCTCACGTATATTTCCTTCCCTTGAAGTGAAAGTCATAAAAGGTACACAGGGTTTGTGATTTTCTTATTGGGAAATTAACTAATTGTTCTTCTTTGGGAATGGGATCGTTGCTTTTGGGAATGGGATCGTTTTCTGACCCCATTTATATAGACAGGAAAAACACTGAATGTTATCCTTGTGTGTTGCAGTATATATATAGCAATTCACAAACATCATACGTCAATGCAAATAACATTTGTATGTTTTTTTCATATTCTCAATATCCAGTGATTTTTTTTCGTTTGTTTTACAGCCGAATATGGGCTGTTTCCCCTAGCTCAAAAAGCTGTATTTTCCCCTAAAAATGCTATTTTTTCCCCTCAATTCAAGTAATATTTTCCCCTTGAAAGAAAATAAAAAAAAGTCCAATAACAGCGGTAAAAAACACCATCAATAAACAGCGTCGTCAATGCATAAAATCATCCACGATTCCTAGTGTGTGCACCGTGCCTGTTAAAATAGATGTTTAAATTAAATTATATGTCAGATTCTTAGTTGATTGTTTGATTTTAGATTTTATTCCCTTTATATGATTTATCGCGCTATATTTTCCCCTTAAAAAGACACAGGTTGTTTTGAAAAATCCAAACAAAATCACTGATATCTCAGAATAGTTTGCATAGAGTTGTAGACTTTGTAACGTTTTTGGATAACATTGTTTTAATTGACAGCGAGGAATACGGATGTTACACAAAAAAGAAAAAAGAAATAATTATAGATGAATATTTCATATGTCTGTTCTAATATCATTGACAAAACATTTACCTTGAATTATAAGGAGCTTAAAAACGAAATTATTTTGAAGGCAAGCCTTTACTAAAAAAAAATTCTTGTCTATCAAAACTCTTATCACCGTTATCATTGCTCTGTTAAAATTTTAATGTAT